TCCCCTCCCCTCCCCTGTCACACCTTAGGAGGAATACTTTTTCCTTAATGTGAGGTAGAGTTTGACTCTAGAATGAATGTGCCCCTCAGTTGCCAGTGTTTGAACCTGAGCTCTCCTCCCCTGGGTCACTGCTGTTGAGTGCATTCCCACCTGTGGTGGAGAACTGTCAGAACATTTCAAAAGTTATTGGCAGAGGCCACAGGCAGACTGATTTTTAAATTTATTTCTCTCACTCCTGTAGAGATAGGTTTGTACCATTCTTATCTTTTCCCTCTGCTCTCCTTCCAGGTTACCTATTATTCAAGGAGGCACTTTTGCATTCCTCACCCCCACCCTGGCCATGCTGTCTCTCCCCCAGTGGAAATGCCCTGCCTGGACACAGAATGCTACCTTGGTGAATGCCTCTTCACCAGAGTTCATCGAAGTCTGGCAGACGCGGATGCGAGAGGTATGTTACATTTTCAGTGACACCTGCTCTTTATCAGGGCTGTCTGCTTTTAGAAAAGCACCTGACCATGACAGAGCCATCAGTGCTGGAGAACCCATCATCCCCAATAGACCTTGGCCCTCACCCTGGTGCAGCTTCCTAAGCATCTAGTCTCTGGCAGAAAAGTGTGTTCTTCACTGCTGCTGAACAGGGGGCTTGCAGTCCTGGGGTGATTTATGGTGCCTGCAAAGTCTCAACTGGTCTATCCAGATCCCTTGTCCACGAAGCATGGCTAGCCTTGAGGAGAGAATGTAGGGAAGATGTTTCCAAGGAAGGAAACCTGTCTAAGCTGCTGACAATCCAAAAGCTGAGTGGCTGAATTTGCCTCTGACAATCCAAAAAGCTTTGCAAAGGGTTGTGAGCTCATGAAGGATTTGCTGTGCAGCACACGCTCCCATCCCTGCCGATACATCTATCACAAGGGCACTGCTGCCTTCTGCTTTCAGGCCGGGTGCTTCACCCCAGCTCCTGTGTTTCTTTTCCCTTTGGAGCTGTGGGAGGGAAGGTGCTGAGCACCGCAGAGGACCCAGCCCGAGTTTATCACCAAATCTGTGAAGGCAAAGAGCAGCCTCACCCCTGAGTTCCCTGCCTGGAGCAGAACTATGTGAGCAGCTAACAGCATTCCAGGATGTAATCACTGGCTACTTAGCAATGATTGTCAAACACAGCAAAGGTCAGAGTGATAAATGTGTCCTCAGATGGAAACCTATACTCAGAAAAAAAACGTCTGTAATGACTCACCTGCCCTGCCAGTGTGCTGAAGTGCCCTAAGCCCTTCCGAGATAGGTGATGAGTGGAGACCATGGCCCTGCTCCTGTATTTGGAGTAAGAGCTTTTTCCCTTTTTGGGGGGAAGCAGGAAGAGAGAGCGCAGGGAAGCTGATGCATACTTAGGTGGCCCAAAAGGCCAGAGAGGAGGGGGTCTCTGGAACAAAATGAGCCCTGATGGGGACCATATCCATCAACCAAGATGGGAGTTGGTGTGCTGGTACTCTGGTGGTCCTTTCCCACATGTAATACTCAGCCAGGCTTTGCTGTAGTCAGCGGGGAGCTTCCATGCTTGCCTGTCACTGGAGGCTGAGCTGGGGTCTCCCACCACTTTTGCAGTAACTTACGAAGAAAAGGCTCAGAAGCTGGACCTCCTTTCAACCTCTGTTGTCTTCCTCCATTTTTCCAGGTGCAAGGAGCTATCATTGTAGCTTCCTGCTTTCAAATCTTCGTTGGATTTTCTGGCCTGATTGGATTTCTGATGAGGTTCATTGGCCCCCTGACAATTGCCCCCACCATCACCTTGGTTGCCCTACCTCTCTTTGACTCAGCTGGGGATGATGCTGGGCAGCACTGGGGCATAGCATTCATGTAAGTCTCACTTCCCCGTGGGAAAGCTGGGTGTACAGAAACTGCCTACTTCTAATAAGAAGCTACTTGTCGCCATCTGTAGCAGTGTGCTCCTGGGTTTGAGATTATTTGTTGAGCACTAACATGCAGCAGGCTTGTGCAAAGCAGCATCATGGAACAGGTTTCCCCCCAGGATCTTAGATCCCTCAGCAACAAAGCAAAATTCCAAAATGAGTTAAAAAAAAAATCTGATTTTGTGAAAGCCTGAAGTTCATAGGTCAGTAGAGAAAGAAGTCTTTCCCATGTGTGGTTCTTGGGAACAGCCTCACCATAGTTGTCTAGACATACTGTAGACAGTTTCATGAGTACACACCCATTATTTAAGTTAAAAAGACATTCCTAAAATGACAAACTTGAACACTCAGAGTTAGGTATTCCTCGAGTTAAAATAGCTGGTGCTTTATGTATTGTTTTCACATGACAAGGAGGAATTGTCTTCTCCACAGAGAGCCTGGAGGGCTTTGGAAATGTCTGTGCATGTGGCTTTGCAGCACTGAGTGCTCTTTGAGGGATATTTGTGTGCGTGCCCTTATGTATGAGTGTACCAGTGTGGTTGGCGGCAGAATTTCCTTGGTATTTCACAAATGAATTCAAAAAGTAGAAGGGCCACTGCATGGTTCTGCTGCTAATTTGGCACCTTCAGATTCCTAATGCAGACTTCAGCTTGGGATAACATGCAACAGAAGTGGGTTGTGATCCTCTCTACAGGCTCCCATCAGTTTGCTACTCCTTCTGGAGCTGCCTTTGGAGAGTCAGGGGCCAGGCTTCACTGCAGCCCCAGGAAGACAGTGTGTGGTTGTGAGAACGTGCTCTGGTCCACCTCTTTCTAGTTGTCTTCTTCTCCCTGCATCTGGCTTCCCAGGCCCCAAATGCCATCTTTCTTCTCCACACCTCCAGTTCCTCACCTAACTGGTCGCTTCCACCAGCACTTCCCAAGACCCCTGTGCCTGCCTGCCACCCTTTCCTTTCACCACTGTTTTTCTCACTACATCTCTGGCCTGTTGTCCTATTCTCAAGCTCCGATGATTTGTCTTAGTCCCAGTGCTTAGCCAGCCTGTTTTCCTTTCAAACTGTATATCCCTGTCTGGATTATCTCCTTCTTGTGTCTCATTTCTCATAACCTTAGTCCTTCAGTTGACTTTGCCCAACTGCACTGCTCCCTTAACACAGTCCCAGTCATCCAGCTCCTGTCCTTGTTCTCAACCCTGGTCACCCTTTCTGTCCTGTTCATTTCTGTTCCATCTTCTACCCATGCTAAGCCCAGTCCTTTCTTTCATTACTCAGGCACCTTAGTCCCAGCCTGATCATTGTGCTCTATCTGAGTTTGTGTTCTCTGAGTTTGTGTTGCTTCCTCCATGCTCCATGAGTGCCATTAAAGGAAAGAAGGCAGCGGTGATGGAGAAGGCAGAAGACATGAGCCATGTGGTCTCAGCCCTGCTGTCCAGCCCCATCACATCCCAGAGTCCCCACGATGGGCAATATCTGCTGTTGCCTTGAGAAATGGTGTAGTGCATGTTCACTTGCTCCCTGGTGGTGGTGCATACCGTAGGCAAGGTCTGGACATACTCAGAAAGCTTGGAACCTTTGTGGACTGCAAATGCTAAAGCCTGAGATGTTTCTGCTGACTGCTTGGGACCGGAGATGAGTGATCATGGGTTACAGACTGACCACAGCGGAGCAGTTTTTTGTGAGAAAGAGCAATATCCCTCATCCCAAAGAACAATTTGTACTAAATCTCAAATTTCTGCCCCAGGTCATAAGCAGACCTTGCTACTGCTCAAGGCAAAATGACCTTCTCAATATAGGCTAAACTATGTCTATTTCCTGAACATCACTCTTTGAAATAGGTTTGGGATACATTTTTCCAGAAATGTTTGGCTTGAGGCAGACATCTTCCATAGAAATTTTCATTCTGAGTGGGCAAAGTTAGGCAGAATTATAAGCAGCTGAAAATAGCATTTGTTAATGGAATGTGTCAGGCAACCTGAATAATAAGCACTGACACCCACCTGAGATAGACAACGGCTCTGCAGTGATTCATAAGGCTGCTGAACACCTTTGTTAATGCAAATGCACAAAATAAGCACTGACGAAGTTCTGTCTGAACTCTGTAGCTTTAGAAACCACGAATGGAAGCCAGCTCTTCCTCAGACTTTGTGCCTCCAAGTCATTTGGTGTTTTGAATCATGACTGATAGATAACCTTTGGATGTATGTTGTTTCATGTCTTTGCAGAGAGGTGAGGTTATCATTTCCTTTGCACTGCTAGTATTCTGTCTGCACGCCAATATCGCACCTATAGATCATCACCACTTCACACATGGAAAACTACTGTTTTTCCCTGCACTGTCAGGATTTATCACCAAATCCTATCCCCATTAATTCACTCGAATACAATTTAGATTTGTTCTAAAAAAAGAAATACAAATTAGGACCCTTCAGAGGTCCGGTTAACACAGGAAGAAAATGTCCAAAGCCTTTTACTGGCTCAGCATCCAAGGTGGGGTGCCCAGCCCCTGCATTCTTGTCACATATGGCAGCCTCCAGCTTCACCTGGTTGTCCTTTCTGGGGCAAGAAAGGCTTGCTGTGAGAGCACCCAGCTGTGCTCCTATTCACAGGAGATGTATCCTACATCAGGGATGTATCCTGCAGAGGAGCTACCACTCATGTCTGCTTCCACCAGAAGGAGCCCTGGGTGCTGCCAGGGTACACGTGAGCCCCCCTGCCTTGGAGGACCCCAATATCATGCAACCCTTTCAGACTGGGCTGCCATGCTTTCTAAGGGTGCTAAGCTATGTTTTTGGTGAGGCTTTTTGTTTTGTTTTGGTTTTTTTTTCCTTTCAAAACAGGGACTTACACAGCAAATCAAATACTTTTTTCTTTTCTCTGTGCCACGCAGGAGCTTTTTGCTACTTGCAGAGCAGCACAGGTAAACCTGAAATCAGGAAACCAATAAATCCTGTATTTCCAGTATATCTGAATTACACAGAGGTTCAGGAACAGTTTCCTACATAGCCTGCCTGCACCTTGCACATGTCTCAGGCTTTTCTTTTACTCAGGTGTTATTTTTAAGCTCTGACAATGGTGTCATACTCAGTGATGCAATATCTAGGGGGCTAGTTTGGAAAAAAAAAGGGGAAAAATATTTGCAAATGGAGCAGAGCTGTTAGTGGAGTGTGATGGAAAGTTTGTTCCACCCCAGGTTTGCTGGAGTGAGATGCTGAAAACTAGTTTTTGGCGTCTCCTGGAGTCCTGGGTCCTTGGGTAGCAGGTCTTCAGTTAATGTGGAGACAGGCAGGTAGCTCAGCACCCACTTTATCTCATGGTCTGGTTTTCCCTCCTCCTAGGACTATTGCTTTCATAGTTCTGTTCTCTCAGTACCTGAAAGACGTCCCTGTGCCGCTGCCATCTTACCAGAGAGGCAAGAAGTGCCACTTCTCCCCGGTCTACCTCTTCCAGATCTTCCCGGTATGTTGGGGTTCCCAGAGACCCAGGGGCTGTGGCAGAGGGACCAAGCTCACCCACCCTGTGCTGCCTGGGCTCTTTCCACTCAGGACCAGCCAAGTTAGTGCTTCCCAGCCCAGCTTGTGTGGTGAAGGGGCAGAGGGGAAGAAGGTTGCCATGGCTCTGCATGTGGGGAGGGAAGGAAGGAGGGAGGGCGGGCCTCCAGGACCCCCTGCCATCCCTCTGCCTCCATCCCATGTGCAAGGGAAAGAAAAAAACAGGGAGACACCTTGTCCCCAGCAACCATGCTGGAGATGAGGTCATGCCCTAACCGGACCCCACTGTTGCATGTGATGGGCAGGTGCTGCTGGGGCTCTCTCTGAGCTGGCTGCTCTGCTACGTGCTGACGGTGACCAACGTCCTCCCCACGAACCCCACTGCTTATGGCCACCTGGCCCGGACTGATGCCCGTGGGGACGTTTTGTCGCAGGCTCCCTGGTTTCGGCTGCCTTACCCAGGTACCACTGCCCTTCCCTGTCCCCATCCTGCTGTGCTGCTCCCGGCTCCAGCTTGCACCTCTGCTTATGGCTAGGAGAGGGAGATGAAATGCCCAAAATCATGCTAATACGCGT